TAACAAAGCTGTAATTTACCTTCATTCTTTGGCACACGTTGAATGGTTATAGTTTTTCCTTGTTCATCACTAGCCTTTAAAGTATTCAGATTCACTCTGTAGTTTTTCTTGTTAATTTTGACAGTAAGATATGTTTTTTTAGCCATTTTAGCATCCTCCAGCTGCATATTTGTCAGTTTATCAAAAGCAACAAAGCTATCACTGCTTCTTGGATACCTCCATTCTACCAGGTTATAAACAAGTTCTGCCTTGGATTGTTCTTCTTCGGTATTCTTAATTTTTTGGATCATTTTTTGAATTTCCACAGAAACAAAATAGACGTCCCTGGTAATACCAGAAATTTTAATGCAAGGTGGGGAAAGTTTATTGTCAAGCTGAATGGTAACATGCTTTCTTCTCTGGAGATCTGCCAAAGTGCCAATTTGCCGCTCATCAAAATTTTCAATTAGCTCATCTGAAATACTGTTTTCAAACTGTTCCTTTAAAATTAAATTCTTTATCCAGGACTCAGCTGCATCCACATTTTTTTGGCTTTCTCCACAAATTTGAAACGTGGCTAAATCAACTTTCTTCTCCAAAACCACAGGCTTTTTCTTCTCAGTGCGTTGGGGTTTGCGCCAAAAAAATGCTGTTAAGAAACATATGTTAATTATTAGTTTTAAATAAAAGATCTTTAGTTTTATGTTCCCATGCAAACAGAAAGCTACTTACATTTAAGCAGAGACATCCATGAATCTGTTGTGGCTGAACATGAATCTTCTCTTTTCTTCATGCTTTCATAAAAGTCTTTGAGCATATTTGTCTGGAAGATGACGATTTTAATTTTTTTCAAATGCTGTACTGATCTTTTGCTTGCAAATTCCACTACAGCATCCAACATGTCATCAGCTACCTTTGCTGGACTCTGTCCTGCTCGACCTAAAAGGCATGTTATCAGTGAACAGTAGTTAAATCAAGGCAGCATCCAGAACACAGAAACCACATCCCCAGCTCGTACAGACTGGTGTCCCTTTCCCCTTCTCCATTACGCTTTCTGGCCAAAGCCCTAAACCTAACTTCAGCCTTACAACCTAAGCCTCCCAGCTCCAGGAGCTGACATCCTACACAGACCTGGGACGCCCTTCTGCCGCGTCGCCATGGAGAGGCAGCGCCGTCGGTAGCGGTCCCCGCCAATAGGCGAGCGGGGAGGGTGGGGCGGAGGCGGCAAGCGCTCCTGATTGGGTGCGGCTCACCGAGGGGCGGGGCGGAGCGGAGGTGGGGACGAGGACGTGAGGGAAAGGTGGCGGAGGGCGCGCGCTGCAGGCTCAGGCAGTGCGATGCAGCGTCAGGCGGGGTCAGGCGGGGTCAGGCAGGGTCATGCAGCGCGATGCAGGGTCAGGCGGGGTCAGGCAGGGTCAGGCAGCGCGATGCAGAGTGATGCAGGGTCAGGCAGCATCGTTCAGGGTCACGCAGTGCGATGCAGCGCTTGCAGGGGCAATGCGGTGCTGTGCAGTTGAGCCTTCTCAGCTGCAGGGCACTGGTGTGGTGCCTGTGGGGCAAGGCAGTGCAGCACATGCAGTGCCGGGCAGCGGATTGCATCCGAGGAGGGGAGCAGCGCAGCGCTGCGCTGTGGAGAGCGAGGCCAGGCGATGCAGTGCTGTGCAACCTGGCCAGGTGCAGCGTGGGGTAATAACGCAGCGCTGTGCAGCACGGCACGATCCACGTAAGGGCAGTGCAGCCTGGTGCAATCCGGCAGGGCCGTGCAGTGCAGCGGGGGGCTGTGCATCACGCTACTGCCCGAGATTCAGTGCACCCCACAGGGCTCGGGTTGCCTCTGCCGCTATCAAAGCCAGTTTTGGGTTGGGGCACCAGGTCCCCAGCTCAGCACAGCCCCTCATTCTCTCCCCGAGACTCCTTGTCCATGGGAGTCCTGTGCTTTGAGGAGTTTCCTCCAGGCCATGAGACTGAAATCTTGTCTAGAACCAAAGGTCCTCCTGTGCCCAGCACATCCCAGAGCTCAAGTCCGGAGTTGAGGTTTCATTTTTCATACACGGCACAGCCTTTTTCCAGCTTCTCAGTCCACAAACACTGTACAGCAGAGCATCCCCAAGTTTCTAGTACAGAAACTAGTAAAGAAACTTTCATCACCACCACCAGGAACAAAAATTCTTTGGTTTTTTGTAGTGTTTCATCCTGCTGCTTTCCAAGGCACTCAATTATGAGGGCCACGTCCCGGCTCACCCAGCAGCTCAGTGGCAGGTGGATGCCTGGTGCCAACAGTTAAACGGAGTCACTCTGGCAGCTGCAGTGCTCCCACAAGACAGAAAAGCATTCAAAAAAAACCAGAGAAGGAAGATCATCCTCATCTTTTCACAGGGAGCAAAATCTCTTAAAAGCAGGAGTGGGTTAAAATCTGTATTGCTTTAAATGTGAATTTATGCAGGACATCCATCTGCAGTGTTGCACGGGCATCTGCGAAGAGCAGACATTTTTTATATTGCCACCTACAGATACCGTAAACACTTTTCCCCTTTGCAGGCAATGAGAGCATTGTAGCAAGGGTTTTAAGACATCCTGCCAGGTACTTGCAGCACAGGTCTCCTTTGAACTAAGGCAGAATAATTTCACCTGGAATCTGTATGCACAACTCCATCACTCAGAGGATACAAGAAAACAATTTTGTCGTCCAAGCCTTTTCAGCTTCTCACTATTTATAGCATCACTGTTACAAAGATAAGCAATTGTAAAGCAACAGTTCTACTAAGTGTGTTCCTTTGTTCCCTTGTGTAAATGACTCAATAATACAATGTAGCTGTTTGAAACCACTTTTATTAAAAGCATGTGTAAATGGCTTTTAATTGGCAGTTGTAAGATGATCATTATAATTAATCATACAGCTTAAAAATATGTACAAATTATTTAATTGTTTTACAGAACTTTAAAAAAAATTCAGATTAAATTCAGATTGTTTAAATGTGGTAACTGAGTTATGCCCCTGTAGATAGATGACTCTCTGCAAACTGGTAATTCTGAGGAAGGGTTAATGTTTTGGTACTGACTAGAAGAAACTAAAAGTTTCTTTATTACTGTCTTGAGAACTCCAGAAGCAATGACTTTGTAGGTGGAAGTTGGATGTACATAATGCAGGGGACCATAGAGAATGTCCCTAGGAACTGTGTATAAATACAGAAATTTATACCTAGGGAATAACAAAGCATGCCACAACAGCATAAGAGGGGGTGAAACAATGAATGCAAAGTGTATATTCAATGTTGCATTTTTTTTCTTCACCAACAAGGGTGAGTGGATGCCTGGGAATGACTGAAAACTCTGCTGGTGAGTATTTTAAATGAATCCTCACAGGCAGCCACTCCCTTGGTGCTTATATGGGGAATACTGGAAACAGGAACATGCACAGGTGCACCGACCTACCCTATACCTCTAACTTCAGGCCACAGGCCTCCTGTACCAGTCCCCTCTGCCTTTCATAGGAAGAGGTCTGGGCTATTCTCACAGTTCTTGCTGACACCTCCACATAACTGAATTTGAAATGCAAGTATTGAAATAGTGTGTTCTAAAATATTTGCTTATCCTAGCCTGGTTGTGGTTGTGAATTGAAGACATAATTAAACACATGGATAGATAAATAACTAATTAGTTTAAGAAACCTAGATGTAAACAAGAATTGCCCCATTATTTTCCACATGTAAAAGGCACTAAAATTTTCCAGATTACTAAGAATATTCTATGTAAAAGTAATAAGGTACTGAGGATATGCCTGAATGTCATTAAATATGACAAACATTGTTGGATTAGTCACATCATCAACCACACTGTCATACAGGTCAGTAGGATCTGCTGGGTTTTTTGGTGGTGGAGTGATTAGTCCTTGCCTCCCAACACAGTACTGCCCAGTGAGGACCCGAGCCAAGTACATGTATTTTCTGCCGTTCATATCCGGTATGGCGTAAGTATCCTGAGCAGAGTAACTTGCATCAACAGCAAAGTAGGTTCCATTTCCAATGACTGCAGCTGTTTGGAAAGACAAGATTTTCAAATACAGTGTTCTTATTCGTGTAAGAATCTCTAAAGCTCCCCCCTTTTTGTTAACTACAGAAGTTCCAAACTTGGTTAAAGAGCAAATTCTAGTAATAAACCTTTGTATCAGGATATCAAATATGAACCCACTAAGGTGTTAGGTAAGAATCAACATCCACATTTTGACTGCCCTTTCCTATGGGGAAAAACGGTTCCTCTGTTTAGCCTTTTTGTTTAGCCTGCAATCAATCAAATTGCAAATCCTCAGAGCCTTTTCAACTTAAAATGACTATATAATTGTAATTATGGTTTTATAGTTACACTTCATAGCAAGTTAGAGGAATCACATTTCTTTGCTCAAGATGTTTCTTTCTGACATTGGTAGAAAGCTGTTCAAGCCAGACAGGTCCTTCCTATCTGGCTGCTCTCATCTTTGGGTATTTTTGCATGGCTACCCACCCTGACAGAAAGGGAGTGTGCCTTTCCTGTTGTAAATCATGGCTGAAGCAGAGAGATGGATGTCAATAGTGACAGGCAAAGATGAGGACATGAGGATCAAGGGCTCTTGCTTCCTGAGTAAATCCAACCTCCTGCACTACCAAAGAACAGGAAAGGAAAACATCTCCTCTGGTCACGTTTTAAAAAGAAAAGGTGGCTGCCATTTCTATCTGGGCACAGTCTGATACATTTTGTTTATGTTGGACTTCATTTTCTCAAGAAAGTAGCAGTGTAAGTACCTCTAGAGGATCCAGACTGAGAAATGTCTACTTTTGGATCCAGACCACACTGAAGTGTCAACTAGATCTGAGTTAAGCTGTCCAGCTTTCTCAAGATCAAGTCAGCCCTAGGCATGCACAATTGTGTCTTAATGTTTTCTTCCTTAAGAACAAAAAGTAAGGACTTTTGAAGTAAGGCTGCAGGACCTCTAAGAGCAATTGGCACCTCAGTTCAGCCCAAGTTCCACTTCTTTGGATCCTGTTCTTCATATCTGAATGCTACCAAATAATAAGCATAAGTGTACTAGAGGAACTGGACAGAATAATCTTTGAACTAATGCAGAAAGTCCTTCTGTTAAATATTTAATGGTTGTCCCTAACAACTATTAAAAGGAGAAGAATTAATTCACAAATTTCAACTGATTTCATTTGCATAAAAATGGGCAGGGAATGGGATCTTCTGAGTGCTTGTGTTGTCCTTCTTCAGAAGCAACAAATGTATCTGCACCTCTGCTTTGCTACCTGCCTTTGTCTGAGAGGAGACAGAAGCAGCTAGTGATTGGTATTTCAGCTGAGGATGTTGAACAGTGGTCCTTGGTCCTTGCTGTAGACAGATCATACAAAACATTTCTCAAAAGCTGCCCAGGCTTGATCTCAGACTAGGTGAGCTTTTTCTGATACCCTCTAGATAATGTCATTCATCAACAAGGGATTATCAGAACAGGTTAATTCCTCTGTCCATAGAGATTATGCTCTGGAGTTATTATTTTGTTCTCCAACTTTATTCAGTCTTCATGTTGTGCTGACAGCACTGTGACACTGACATTCCCTAGTACCTCATACATGCCTAGGAAATTAACTGCTTTGGATAATGACTCACCATTCTTTCCAGCAAACCCACGATTAAATCCACTGCAGTTGATCGTAGTCAATGAGGATGCAGATGTCCCATGAAATAGCAACTTCTCAATATCTTGATTTTTGTTCTTTGTACAGAGAGAGGTTTTTTTTATTTGGTATGTCTGCCAGAGGAAGAGATTTTGTATTCTTTCAATCTGTAAAAGTTACAAAATAGAACTATATTTATACTGGTAGGGACCAATATTTATCATGGCAGGAAAGCATTAAAACCAAATCAAACTTAAAGAATTACAGTAATTTTCACTATGCCCTGTTAGTTTGAGTTTTGGGTTGGGAATCTGAGTACGTGAGCCTCCGGAAAAATCAGAAAAAAAAGTAGCTTAGAAGAAGTTTTCAAGTTTGGTTAAGTTTTGGCATACACTTGTCTTGCCTAGGTATACAGGCAATCATGGTAGCTGTGCACTGTCGTTTTTAGAAATAGGTTGTTGTACCACTGCCAGAGGCAGCGATGCAAGATGCCTTCTGCACATCCTAATCATCTTTACTGGTAATTTTCTCACTAAAGGGTAGACTGTAGTGATAGCATTACGTCAAATTTAAGTTTCTCTTTTAGATCTCAGCTTGGAAGTCGAAATTACTTCCTTTAGTGTGTAGCTTAGCAACCAATAAGAAACTCCTATATAAACATAAATCGGTGGGAGGATAGATGTTGCTGGCTCCCTATGCCAACAACCTGAATATAGCTCAGGGGAAACAGTGTATCTGCGTCAAAGTATAATCTTAAAGGCACTGCTGTAATAGTTTTCTATTTTCAGAGGAAAAAGGCTTCATATCACTACCTGACGACTTCTGTTGTATACTAATACTTTATTCTATTTGTGTCTTACTGACCATGCTCACTGAATCTCACGATGGAAGAAATTTTTTCAAACACATATTCTCACTCTTAATTTCATCATATTTTCTCCTATTTATCACTCCTCCTGATTCTGAATAATTCCATCTTCTCCCTGGCAATTAAATCTCTGCACACTGTGTTGCAGACTTTTCAATAAGTAGGATGAAATCTTGACACTTTGGGAGTGACAGGGAAGAAGTGGTAAAATAGTAAAAAGCTTTATGGCCAGTCTGCAAGGACTTTGTATTTTCCTTTGTATTCTGAATGCATTTGATCATGCTTCCATTTCAATATAGAATTTCCTAATTGCAAATACCACATTAACTACTGAGTGCTATGTTAGTTGAACACAGAGCCAGCCTGAAGACTGATGATCACTGGTTTTGCCTTATTAGAAGGCAGGGCAACTCTTAGGAAATTTGATTTGATTTATATTCACCCTGTAAGGTGCTAAGGAGACTGACATGTGAAAGGTGTATTAGGTTGCAGACAACATCTTACAAACAAATATTTAGAAAGTACGTTAATATTTTTAGCCCAAGAATTCACTTTTTTCTCCCCATAGGATTTCACCTTCTCTATGACAAAGCTGTGACAGGTTTTCTTAAATTTGTTCTGAACATCCACGTATTCCTGACATGATGTGTTGAGATTCACCAGCTTGATGTGTTCATTTTCCATGTCTTCCCACTGCGCAGGGAACTCTATTGACAGCTTTTCTGCAAAACAGATTGCATTATTATGACAGATATCTAGCTCAGTTTTGTAGGCACATCTTACAAACAAACTACATATAGAGGGCTGAGAGGACAGTACCTTATGCAGTACTTTACTCCAAGAATACTCTCTCTCTTCAATACATCACTGGCTCTGCAATGCCCTATTAAGACTTTACATTTTCTCTAGCCTAATTATCCCCAAACCAGTGTCTAACTAAAACAAGTTTGAAAACCACAGAAGAATTTTATGCATGCTTCATACACTACTTAGACTTCAGCATGAAATCTATGCTCACTAGTCACATACAAACAGATAATATTTGTATTTAAAATTGATGTTCTGATTTCAGTCATACCTGCCACTAATTATGACATTAAAATTGCTGGCTATGGTATGCCCAGGGTGGGGGGGAAGAGAAAGGAAAAAAAGCTATGGAATAGCTTACTTCTTTGGAATACCTGAGTTTGCATTTACCAGAATTGTCATTCAACAATTACTATTAAAGGTTTTTCCATTAACAAAGCTGTAATTTACCTTCATTCTTTGGCACACGTTGAATGGTTATAGTTTTTCCTTGTTCATCACTAGCCTTTAAAGTATTCAGATTCACTCTGTAGTTTTTCTTGTTAATTTTGACAGTAAGATATGTTTTTTTAGCCATTTTAGCATCCTCCAGCTGCATATTTGTCAGTTTATCAAAAGCAACAAAGCTATCACTGCTTCTTGGATACCTCCATTCTACCAGGTTATAAACAAGTTCTGCCTTGGATTGTTCTTCTTCGGTATTCTTAATTTTTTGGATCATTTTTTGAATTTCCACAGAAACAAAATAGACGTCCCTGGTAATACCAGAAATTTTAATGCAAGGTGGGGAAAGTTTATTGTCAAGCTGAATGGTAACATGCTTTCTTCTCTGGAGATCTGCCAAAGTGCCAATTTGCCGCTCATCAAAATTTTCAATTAGCTCATCTGAAATACTGTTTTCAAACTGTTCCTTTAAAATTAAATTCTTTATCCAGGACTCAGCTGCATCCACATTTTTTTGGCTTTCTCCACAAATTTGAAACGTGGCTAAATCAACTTTCTTCTCCAAAACCACAGGCTTTTTCTTCTCAGTGCGTTGGGGTTTGCGCCAAAAAAATGCTGTTAAGAAACATATGTTAATTATTAGTTTTAAATAAAAGATCTTTAGTTTTATGTTCCCATGCAAACAGAAAGCTACTTACATTTAAGCAGAGACATCCATGAATCTGTTGTGGCTGAACATGAATCTTCTCTTTTCTTCATGCTTTCATAAAAGTCTTTGAGCATATTTGTCTGGAAGATGACGATTTTAATTTTTTTCAAATGCTGTACTGATCTTTTGCTTGCAAATTCCACTACAGCATCCAACATGTCATCAGCTACCTTTGCTGGACTCTGTCCTGCTCGACCTAGAAGGCATGTTATCAGTGAACAGTAGTTAAATCAAGGCAGCATCCAGAAAACAGAAACCACATCCCCAGCTCGTACAGACTGGTGTCCCTTTCCCCTTCTCCATTACGCTTTCTGGCCAAAGCCCTAAACCTAACTTCAGCCTTACAACCTAAGCCTCCCAGCTCCAGGAGCTGACATCCTACACAGACCTGGGACGCCCTTCTGGAGTTTGCCCATTTACTTTGAGGCTCCAACAAGCATTTCAGGTTTACCATCCCCCTGATATTTTTAAACCCACACATCACTAGCTCTATGCCCATCTTTAAACCAGGTACCAAAGTAAAACCAAATCAAATTACTGGAGGATTTTGACACATGCCTGCAGTGTATTTCAGCATACAAACAGGAACACCAAACTCAAAACAACTGCTCTCATTCCCCTACAAGCCTGAAGTGCAACCTAAAGCTTATCCTGAAACGCTGTGGGACCCCTGCCAATTTCAGCCACGGCATCCCTTGGACAGTCACCAGCACGCAGATGATGTTGGCAGTCCAGGGGTCCTGCCATAACTGTCACTGTGGAGTCCAACACTGGCCCACACACCAGCTCCTACACTAACCTGGCACGCTGAACAAGTACCAGCTCACTATTTCTTTTTCCAGACAATGGGAGCCTTGGTCTGAGGATACCCTGCTCTCTTCAGGCCCTGCTTAAGCCAAATAAGCTAGCCTGCCTCTAGCCCTCCACTACAAACACGACTTATAAAAGGTGTAAACTGCAGGTATTCTGTACCCAGCCCACAATATATGTAGTCAGCCAGGCAAAAGTCTTGGTCTCAGGACAACTCCAGATTTCTTTGCCTACAAACCCCAACCCCAGCCACTCCAAGTGGTTGAAATCACAAGCAAGGTCTATGGGAAGTTTGAAGAAAGGTGCAGGGTGGCCAGCTGAGATACAGTCTGTTTTGGGGCAGAATGTATTTTATGGAGCAGTATCTTTTTTTTTAAAGCATTCTTGCTCAATCAATATTGACTGTAATATTTATACTTTGAAAAAAGCAGCATTTTTGAAGTGTGCAGGTGGTTGTTTGAACCGATTACAATGAACTTTCACAAACTACAGTTAACAGTTTTTTGTACAAGTCTACTGTTATCCATATCAGAGGTATTAACTTTATTCCAGTTTCTGAGTTACCCCCACCACAATCCTCATTCCTTTCCCAAGAAAACACAAACCTGTTCCAATTGCCGGGAAGGCAACAGATTTGTACATCTTTAGCTCACACTCGTTAAGCACTTTGGAGACCTGACTCTTCACATTGTTACTGTGAACCAAGTGGATGATTTTACTGCACAACAGTTTTCCACCTTGTGTAGTAATAAAGCCTTTCTGAGACTGCCCAGCTAGAAGAGAGAAGATAAATAAGGAGACATTAGCATTTTCCAAGTGGCTATCTCTTCTGATAAGACAGCTGGTTATACTGATGCTAGAAGAGAAGTGAAAAAATTGGTAAGAAACCCACTGTGAGCTATTCACTGGGTTTAGCTGATTCCAGTTTTCTCTTTAAATATCCTGATGGCAGAATTTTCTTTGAGAAAGTAATTCAAGTAATTGTGTGGGTTTTAGTCTCCCAAGATCTCTGCTACAAAGTACAACTTCGGAATTTATGTTGAATTTAATGGCACCTCACTTTTACTTAAAAGCATGACAACAGACTGTGCATAATTAATTTATATGACAAATCCTTTCTTACACCACTTATTCCTTGAAAGCTCAAACTCTTATTCTGCAGAAGAGCTGAATGTTTAAAATAATATCATTACATAATGACCAGCTGATCTAAGAACTGCGGTGTGGAATCTTTAAAAAGATGCACGTGTTTTTTCAGGGCACTCATGTTTGATTACAAACACTTCAAAATGGAGTCAGATTGTGAGGATGAATGGACTGATGAACACAGAGTTACATACCACTTCGCTGGTCACAAAGGTAATGACACTATAAGATGCTCTGCATGCACTTAGGTCAGGCTGATAAACAGGGAGAGCCTGCACAGCCAAAGGCTGGGGAAAATATCCAGGAAAATCCATCCTGAAAGTTAACTTCTAGATTCAGAGCAGGAACATTTTGTTTATGAATCTACAACTTTTTTCTTTCTGTGCCGCAGAGCCCAACCACACTGAGTTGGGATTTTACCACTCTACTGGTCTGGCAGAACACAGACTACAGAAGAACTCAGGATCAAGGTGATAAGCAGAGTTAAATTTTTTCAGTAAAAAAATAATTATGTATTTGTGAGTATAAGCCCAGATTTGCTATTAGCTTTTAAAAGCCAATCCTGTGCATGCTTACAGCAAAAGACAGTCTTCCACCACTTTGTTCAGTTTCAAAACTTCAGCTTTCTTGTAGCTGACAAGAGATGAACTTAAAAATTATGCTCAAGTCAGTAAGATTGTTTCTTCTTAAGTCAAGAACACACTTGAGTAATTTCAGAGGTAAACAACATAAATTACATTAATTTTCCAGCACTTATTAGCATCAGAAAACTGTATCCATCTTCTGTTCAGTTGTGAAAAGAAAACTTCTCAAAGTAGGTGTCAAAACAACAACAGGACTTTTCACATTCTTAGAATTGAAAGCTATTTTTTCAGACAAAGTATTTATATCAAAGAATTATAAAACAACCTTAAATTTTGAGCAATAACATTTTAAAAAGTAATCAAAATACTATTATTTAACATACCATATTGAGCACATTCTTCTTCTACCTGGGAACCAGCAGCATTCATAATTGCTTTGAAGACCCCTTAAATTATACAAGAAAAGCATACACATTCAGTCAACTTAGCTATTTCTACTCAAAACTCTACCCAGCTTCTGCACTCTACAAATACCACAAATTCTCATATGGCAAGATCCAACAAAGTACAAAACCTTGCCAGTTCCCCTAAGCACACTCCATGAACACTGCACTGGCTGCAAAGAGAACACTGCTTCCATTATTGATTAGAAATCCCTAAGAGTAACTCCTATTTAATTGTTTCACTAGCCAATAGTATGCACCTCACCAAACTCTCCAATTGTTTTGAATTATATCATTTGACATCTTCCATGCTTGCAATTCACAATGTTACAAAAAAATCCTCTACTACTTAAATTCACTTAACTAGTGCTTTGGCTTGCAGTGACGTATAATTAGGACAAGAGCAGTTTTTCAGAATTAAATTTGAATTAAAAATTCCCTTTTATTTAAACATTTTTGTTTATAAACAAGATAAATCTGGTCAGATGTCTTCTGTCTGAGTAGTTTGGAAACTAAATGGAGTATTCAGGACACATAAAAAACCTGTTTAAGATCTATTTCCTAACAAATCACAATTCTCCCTCACCTGAAAAATACTTCATAAAAGTTTCATATATGGAAAATTCTTTCCTGTACCCCCTCTTAAAAACTAAATATATCACTGAAGAACTACATATTTAATACCTGTTGTGGCATTAAATGTTGGATTTGATATGTTTACTATAACCTCTGTATCTTCCTTGGTAATATCTCCACTAATTACTTGGAGTGTAATGGAACCAATCTTCATTTCATGAACTCCCAATGCTGCAGCTGTAACACGCGTAATGAAACCTGCAAGGGAAAGAAAAATACCTTAAAACACTTGTCCTCTAGTTTGGGATATTATTCTCTTCCACTGATGGAAACTTCCAACATTTCCTTTTAAGGAATATGCTCTAGATCAGTATGATGGACCTAGAGAGACTCTGCCTTTCTCTCCACTCCATTAAAGAAAGCAGGAGTATTCTTCCTGTTTAAATACTGTGAAAGTGAAACCACTTCCATTCCTGTAAATTCACGCAGTGTAAACTCAGAAAGGACTCTTGGGGTTACGTGATCTGACCAGTTCTGTAACAGTTTCCTGAATTAGCTCTTACAAGAAATGGAGTATCCAGCTTAAGCACTGCCTGTAATGGAGATCCCATCACACCACTTTTGTAAGTTATTTCATCTTTACCCTCACAGATATAAAACTGTTCCTTACTTCTAGCCTAAACTTATCTAATTCATACTTTATCTACACACTCTTACCTCATCTCACCGATACTGAGCAACTGAGAAAAAAGAGCTATATAGTCCTATGATTAGGCTTTGCTGTTGATGCAGTTCACTCATATGTTTTTGCTATTGGGTCACACTACCTCAATTAATAAACGGAAATTACTCATTCAGTATATCTCTATATAGGGAATTAAAGGTACTGAAAGAAATGTTTTTTATGGATTGTTTGGCAAAGTAATACCAAGTTGAGTAGGACAAACAGTTCTCCTAACAGGATATCCTCTTCCATGTGATAAGACTGGCATTACTAAGAGATGAGCATGCCCTCAACAAAAGAAATTCCTCTTTAAGATTTCTACAAATGGAGTTTAAGAATGCCAGTGCATTAGGAGGAACAAAAATGCCCTGTGTCTTGATGTAATTTTGTCCATTTCCTGATACCTATAAAACCACTTTATAGCATTTACACTCTCTGGTGTCCCACCTCCTACCCCTGTACAACTTACCTGACCGTGGTGCTGCAGCACTGCAACTTTCAGGTACCCTATCTTCTAGTTCAAAGTTAAAGGCCTACAAAGAGAAAAAAGGTACCAAAGACAGTATTTCAGAGTTTATATACTGAATGTTTCTATAATTAACATTAACAGTCATGTAGCTCTTGCTGAGCCATCTGACACATTTTACAGTCATGTTTAGGTATCACTAATAACAGTGGAAGACTTGGTGGGGACAGTGTGATAATAGATACTGTCTTTGTGTTGCCAGAACTCCTCTGTCAAAAGACAAGTGAGCATCTACAGGTGTTTACAGTGCCAGCAGCGAAGCCAATTTTGTCTGCAGCTTGTGCTTGCTGAGAGTTTATATTTCAGAGACACCGAATAAGACACTGGAGAGACATCTCAGTGTCACCAGCCCACAGCAGTAAGAAAGTGCTAAATTAGTCCCTTCAGAAAACAATACAACTATAATATATTGTTAAGGCATAACTAGAACAGTATATAACACAGATGGCTTTGTCCTGAGAAGAACTACCTGGATGTTATCCAAATCTTCTGGATTCAAGAGAAAATTAACTTCTTGGAGAGTCTTACAAGTGTGACTACTACTGAACTTGAATACCGTATCAAACATTAACTTAGAAACAACAGTTTTAGGAAATCTAAATCCTCCAGTTCCAATAGCTGGGAAAGTGATCGATTTCAGTCCCAGTTCTTCAGTCTTCTTCAAGCAGGAACTGATTATACCTTCCAGGGTCTGTAAAATACAGCAAAAATCCTTTTATTTTTTTTAAAAAAGGGGCACAATTTATTATTAGTTCCACAGAGACTACACTGGTATGAAAAAACCCTAAGTGGTCACTCCAACAGAAGTAAATGGAGTTGAGTTACCTAAACAAACTATTTTAAATCCTGAAACTTCAGGATAGGATCCCAAATAAATCTGGTTTCAAAATACTTATTTAAAAAAAAAAAAAATTAAAATGTACCTTCAGGGTCTGTCCTTTTCCTCCATCCCACATGGGCATTATGGCATGAAATACAAACTTGCAGGCCAGATCATATCCACTGGTGCAGAGCACACTCCCTGGACCAGCAACCTGGTTTTGTTTTGCATTCTCAAACTCTACTTGGAGCGCCTCTCCAGCCTTTTCTAGCAACGCTTTGCAAAGAAGGCCCACACCAAACATCAGATCTGTGCCAACAGTGTTGACGATAACATCCGTCTGCAACAAAATTACAATGAAAATATCTATAGCCAGACTCCAAGTAAAAATACACATCAAGACTAATAGCACTACCAAAGCAATGCACAGCACAAAAACAAGATACCAATGGAGAAATAACCTGGTTTTCAGCACAGCTTCTACATACTGAGTATTCCTGGACTTGTGTGAAACCTACAGTAGGCAGCATAAGACCCACCTGTGAGTACCAACCCCAGCGGTATCTATGTGTGAGCAGGTCGTCATGATCCATCTATCCATCCATAGCTGTCAAGCCCTCAGCAGAGGTAAGGCTGTGACTCACCTCATGCCAGGCAGATGCCAGTATCTGGGCAGCTAAAATAAACCTAACCTCTAATTTGCCTAAACACCTCTCCCCAGACCCAGCCTTTGCTACATTTCCTTGTGAAGAACTGCTGTAATGTTGCTCCTTCTTCTCTAGCATCATCACAGGATGCAAAATACAAGTATTGTATAAGGTATGTCACGTAGAAAGTTTAATGTCCTTACTTTTCACTGAAGTGGGATTGTCTACACTTTATCAGAAAAGCAGCACCTCATGCACCAAAATGAGGTAAAGGGAAGTTGTTGTGCTCTCATGAAGTAAAACAGGCAAAGCCCTGAAGTCTGGCACTTGCTTTGTTTTTACCACTGGACGCGTTTTTAATTACAAAGTATTTCCAGTGTGTGTCATATTGAGGTTGTTTTACATCTAGTATTGCTCTTTTATTGGAATAGGCTTTTACAGGCACCAACATGACAACTGAAGCAACTAATACTGAAACAACAGGACAATAATAATAATTATTTCAGAAGATTTTAAACTCCCAAAATATAAAAAATGGGGGCTGTTGAAAAAAAAATAATTATCAAGATGCACTTTGCATCACTGAAGGAAAAAAAAATCACAAGGGAAAGAAGCTATGTTCAGAAGTGTAAACCGAGTCTTGATGGTCTAGATGAGTAGTAGTTAAACTCTCTGTTAACAAAAAGAATGAAAAAAGAAAACGGGGGAAATATACGTAGAATCAGGTGTAGACTTTGGCAAAAGAATCTAAGCATGCACTCTTCCATGGGGTTGCTTTTCTAGAGCCCAGTAACTTCTTCAAAGACTGTGTCTTTAACCCATCCAAAGAGCCAGGAACTAAAAAAAATAAGCTACATGCTCCCTGTCAACATGACTCACAACAGCAGCCCAAACAGGTCCGGATTTCCCATAATATCCAACCTAGAACCTAGATTGATACAGATCATATAAATACTTCTAGAAAGTATTTTAATATTTCCCATTTAGAAACAAAGCAAACTGTTTTATACATTGACCTTAGAACTAAAGAATGAATAAAACCTAGCTGGGAACAAAACATCCCAAAATTCACAGTTGCTCACTAGAAACGGCTGTAGAGTGACAGATTCCAACCCGAAATCTACCAGTTTTGCAAGCTTGCTTCCTTGTTTAGCTAGCACACAGCCGTTGCTCCCTTATGTAGCAATTACCTCGTAAAACAATATAATCTACTGTCCTTCCTCTCCTATTTAAAGACCTTCACATCAAGTTAGAAAATAAGTGGAAAATTAAAGACCTACCATGGTTTCCTGAATGTTTTTCACCTCTACTTGGATGCGAAGTCCTTCTTTTGTTGTAACCACCTGCAGATCTTCTTTTCTCTTATCCTGGCTTTCTGTCGCCTTACAGTTTTCCGAGTGTGATGTCAGCAGTATCGGGGAGGAAGATTCAACTGTAAACATGTTTTTCACTGTCTTGCTCAGAACCTGAACTGTTTCTTCTGCAACATCCACAAGATGAACCTCCTTCAAGCTGCTGTCCCCCATGGACTCTTCCAAGGTCTCCTTGATGGAGGATACAATTGAATCTGCATACATCTGCAGCGGGAAGTCAAAACTCCCTCCACTTATAACAGGCAGAGCTATGGAATGATGATTGTATGTTTCAGCGAGCTGCAGACTTTTCTTCACTGTCTTTCTTAACAAGAACACGCACCTTTCTGCTTCATCCTCCCTCCACCTGGGCCCAACAGCGTGAATGACATTCTTGCAGGGGAGTTTCCCAGCACCTGTGATAACTGCACACCCAGGCAGCAAAGTCCCGTTTTTCCTCACCAGCTCATCGCACTCCTGTTGCAGCTCTGGACCAGCTGCTTTTAACAGTGCCTCAGCAAGGCCACCGATGGGCTTTAAGTCTTCATTAGAAGCATTTACCACAACATCAACAGGATAAGCGCACAAGTCAGCTTTATACACTGCTACTAAAACTCCATCTGGCAGCATTCTCTTGTAGCAGAGCTTTTTTCTGTCTTTATTACCAAACCTTTCATCCTTATATTGTTCTTCTTCTTCTTTCAGCCTAATCAAACAGCTAAATTTCTGCCTTGCCTCAAAAACACACGATTCTTTCCTCTCAGTGAAGAACTCTTTGGCTCCTGGTTTATCAATTGGCACATTTTTTGAGTAAAGGGATGAGAGAACTTTTTCAAACGTGATGACTGCTTTTGGCACTTCTGCCCTTGGTCCACTCAGGGAAATACATGGTGTCTTGGTGTCAAAACTTACTGTCACACCTTTCTTCCTCAATTCGAGATAAACACTGGATTTTTCCTTCTCTACAAACTTCACTACCACCACCGACTTAGCTGGGATTACATCTTCCACATGTGTGTTTCTATCTATAAAATCATTAAGTTTCTGATAAACTTCTGTTACAGCTGTAGAAAAGCCAGCAATAATCACTTTATTTTCTTTTCCAACAGGCTGATTAATGAGCACCGTTTCCTGCGAAGAATTGTACCTCTTAAGCAAGGAAGCAACAAGACTCCTCCACTGCTCTTTTTTAATGACTTCACCATCCTCCACGTTGATGCACGCTGATTCTAAGCCTGTCTTTATTTGTTTTTCTGCTTCTAAAAGATCTTTGGTAGCATCTCCAAATAGCAACACAGTACCATCCTCAAGCTCATAAAAAGAATTAATTTTTTTCCTAGTGAATAATGTCTCTGACATTGTTTTATTATCTACGTGCCGTAGATACTGGAAAACATGAGGATCAACGGTAACTGATGTAAATGGCATATTCAATACCCTTTCCAGTAAGTCAGCTTTGATTTTATATACTTCTGCAGGTAATCCACACAACTGAACAGTTTTTTTTATGTCATCATAAGAGATCTTTAAGCACGGATATTCTTTGTGAATATTCTCTTCCAGCCCAGCATTGTGCAGAACAGCATACTTCCCTGGGATCACTGACACTGAAATTTCTATGCTTTGTTTTTCCCTTTCACTTTGCTTCATGGCTTTTTCCATGCATTCCCTCACTTCTTTCTCTGCATTGTCCACCGCTGCTCTGTTGCCAGCAATCACCACCATCTCCTCAGAAATATCAGTTACAATCAGAGCAACATCCTTCACCAATCTGTTTTTCACATCTTCCCAACCCACTGAATTTACTTTACATTTTATAGCTACATAACGTGCCATGATACGTGAGAATTCACTAGAAGCATCTTGCTTCCATGTCTTGATCAACTTAATCATTGGCTTTTTCTTCTCAGAGAGAGATGATGATGGGCACAACACAATTTCTGGGTGTGCACAGTCTGTCTGGGGCCATTTTAGCTCACAATGGCAAATTGCCATTTCTTGGTTTATGTCTTGGATCAATTCAGCCTGCCTTTGTAAAAACTGCCAGATATATGGATCTAGTGGCACCCCAACGGGGTCCGGCATCTTGATAGTTGGTCTTTCTTCTCCGTACAGAGCTGTTCCCAGGGAGTGGTAATATGGATGCACAGAAATCTGTCTCTGTTCCAGCAAATGCTGCTTTTTCAAGACAGTGTTTAGATCTAAAAGTCAGCACACACAGACACAAACACATATATGATCATTAACTTCAAATCAGGCAAATGACTCTGTTCTTAGAACTATTACACTGAATAAAATAACTTTTTTCCTTTTCATTTGAAAGAGCTATTTTTATGGCTTTCTGTTTTCCTAACCACTGTAGGGAACAAGATAAAAGGCTTGGCTCCCAACTACTTTGGTAAATATACTTGTGCCTGTATTTACTTGTACAGCTATGCCTTGCTCGCATTTCCTAAGGGAAGTCCACCACAGAGCAGTGCCATATCAAGTTACTACTACGAAATGCTCCTTACTCTCACCTTAAAGTAAAACCATGCCAGTACTTTTTTTTTTTTTTTTTTTTTTTTTTTTCATTTCAATTGGAATGGACAAAGGAAAGGAATTATAATGTTGGCAGGGACTTACAGTCACATTACAACGATCCAAATTACATATTACCTTAATGCACAAAATATTCTTAAGCAAATTCTAAGAGTCAGAAGAAAAACAATCACCTGGCAGATATCTTTAATTAAAAGTAAAGGATTTTACTAAGCCAGGAGTCTTCTAACACAGAGATATTTACCAGAGGATGTTCTGGCACAAAAAAGGGACAGTGATTCAACACAAGGAATAGTAACAAGATCGTGCTTTATTCTTCCCTGATAATGAACATATTTGACCTCAATTTCTGAAAGCTAACTGTCATCGACAAATCCTGCTTCCTCTCCCTTCAAGTATAATTCAGGCTGTATTGCAGATTAAAACCTCTGTAAATGGGAAAAAATATCAGCAGGAACAATCCATACACAAAGCAGGTATTAAAATGAACCTCTGGTAACATGAAAAAACAGAGAGATTCCAAAACCCTACACGAGCAGCAGTATTTCTAAATCCAGAGCACTTCCTAGGAACAGGACAACAAGCCAGGCTTCTTCTAATGCCTAAATTTGCAGTAATTTTCTTTCAGGTCCTCCACCTGGGAGCACTTTGGTCAGGCAAAGGACAGTGTTACCTTTGTGATCACAGAAAGTAATGATGGCCGAGTTCTCCTCAGGGAAGAGCTGGACGTCTGACACAGGCCCTCCTCCATTCCGCACGCTCTCAAAGTATACTGTGATGTAGTCTGTGGTAACGTTGTCCGGTATGTTTTCAGCCTTGATGCTCTGTGTCAGTTCAAGAAGCTTGGCAGTCATTTTGAATTCTTTAACTCTCTTGTTTTCTGAACAATTTTTAACAAATTCTTCAATATCTGTCAACAGAAAAGCAACATGAACTGACTATGTTTTCCTGTGCTATTATATCAGACCTGGCTATCAGTTCTGGCAGAGACATGAGCTGACTCTACTTCTCCCTGTATTTGGAGCAAAACTGTCTTTGGTGCCAAACAGCTCTGTATTGTAACAAAAGAGAAAAACACACAGAGCTATGTTGCTTTCTGCTATTCACTACTACTATGTCTCTGTTACCCTCTTATTCATCTCTTGTATAAACTAAGCACTTCTCAAAGTTCCACCACTATCTCAAATGGAGACTTTATATACTTCAATAATTTGTTGAACTCATCTCCACACTCAATCCACTTCTAATTCTTCTCCATCTAATACAAAATCAGAGAGAGACAATGAAACATTCCCACCCAATTTCAATTAATGAAGATGCCACAGTTTTCTTTTTTCAGTGTAACATTTGGATCACTGGCATTTTCATGGAGTTGTATATAAGACATCTTTCTTGAGAAACTACAGTCCAAGTACCGTTTTAAAACTGAATCTCTAAAAGGAGAGGAATCAAGGTCTGAAAGCTAATACTCATACACATACATGGAAATAAAGGATGGTGTTCATTCTGTCTTACCAATACTTTTCATAAAGGTGGCTACAGCAACATTTATTTCAGGTATCACTTCCACAGTGAAGTCATCATCCACTGTCAGGCCGCTGATGTTCTCCAATAGCATACGTAAGCATTTTGGACTGCATCTCTGTATGTTTTCCAACACTACCAAAGGCAATGGCTCTGTGGACTTCTCTGCAATCTTCTCTGCAGAGCCAGCTTCCTCCTGGAGCTCACTGGTTGGAACAAAACTCTCTGCTTTCTGAAAGGCTTCTGCATCAACTGCAACAGAAAGATAAATAAACCACATGACATGTTGGTATACATTTCCTGGAATAAACAGATTTTGCTTACCCCTCCTCTCATTTCCTTTCCCAAGAAAAAAATATCTAACCAATCAAATACTGCAAGGTACCCCAGGACATTCTGGGATCCAAAACAGCCCAGATGAAATATTCTGAGGTGCTGCAGGCAGCTTCTTTGGTGGCACAAAACCAGCCATGAGTAAACAAGTCAAAGGTCACTGGTATGTTTCTGGGTTGGAGACATAAATAAAATAATACCCATTGAGATAATTTTCTACTCAGGTGTTGGTAAGGGTTGTGAGAGACCCTGCAGCCTCTACATCTGTTTCTTAGCCTGGGTGCAGGCATAACAATCCTGAACATAGTTTGGGACATCCACAACTCTGCTCTGCATGACTCGATGCAAAGCCTCCTGATGACCAGCGTGCCCTGCTGTCAGTGCAGCAGGACAGTGCTGAAGAACCCATATGCACAGAAGGCTGGCAGGGATGCAACAAAATTTTGCAGCTAGAAGATATAACAGGGGTGCCCACCGAGTACCCCAGAAGTCCAGCAGTGGCCAGAGGAAGGCACATGTCCAGCTTTGCAGAGAGATGAGGGCAAAGGTGGGAGAGAATCTCTGAACAGGAATGATGTGCTCCTTCACGCATCTGAGTAAACTGAACCAGGTATGTGGTGACACAACTGTCCAACAAGTCATGGAAGACGGCAGTCACGGAGCATGCAGGGTGGTGGGGAACTGGCACAGGCCAAAGGGCACCCCTGGGTGCTCAAGATGGCCACACTCCCAAACAAAGGCAGCTCTCCACTCCTTGCCCCAACAAACACAAGCAGGAGCATAAGCCCCTCTCAGTATGGGAAAACAGCACATCCTGCACCATGGCAGGGAGAGGAGCATCAAACGAAACCCTGGCACTCACCACCCTCAGTGCACACCTCCAGGGTCACCATTTCTGGCTGTGGCAGAGGACACATGCAACTGAGGGGAGAGGAGCTCAGTGAAGCAGTTGTACACCTGACTGGGGATAGGGGGGAGAGCGGGGTAAGGTCTCTGCTTGCTTTTGCTCAAGAACACCCAAACACCCCTAAATCCTGAGGCAGCACCCAACAGGAAGGCCATAGGGGTCAGCCCCAAGGAGATAAACAGAGCTGTGGGGTAGGAAGGCTCGAGCAGGCGGCAGCACAAGCAGGCTGGCTCTGCCTGCTCGTCAGGCTTACGAGCTCTCCCAAGGTACAACGACTGATACCAAACCCGTAACACTTACAGGAGACAGCTGCCTTTGAAAGCCTACTAGCATAAGCCCAACAAGGGGGAAACAAAAGAAATAACCACAGAAGCAACAGCTCTACAGATGCTAATTAGCAATTTCTAGATCACTGACAAAAATCATCTGCTCCACTATGTCCAACAAAGGAAGTACAAAAAGCCAAAACTGAAAGCTAGGCTGACCCAGCAAAGCGATTAAGAGCAGCACCTGGAGACTTCCTGGGTCCTCTCCAGTATAACTGAAAAACAGTAGATGACCTTTGAGTATCTAATCTTGAAACGAAAGCCACCCAAAATGGCACCAAACAAGACTTCATACAGAAAGGGAAAGATGGGATAATTACTGAAGAACTTCCTGATTAACTGGTCTATTTAGGGCTGAGTATTTTCACAGACGTGGGTATATTTGGGTGTGCAGTACTGTTTTCTAGCTTGCTTTTTGAATCATAAAGCTGAGCAGACTATTGCTGAAAGAGGACCTAACTAAAGTCACTGAGGTACTGCTGAGATGCACCACTTGCCTTTACAGACTCTCCTAACCGTAGGGAGCACAAAGATGCCAGGCCTGGGCTTAAGACCTTCAATCTAGGTGTTTCTACTCAGATCTTATCTTAGAGCAGTTATGCAGGATAAGGTAGGTAAATTCCTCTCTGGAGATGCTCCTTTGGTTATAAAGGCTATTTGAGAAATTAAAACCAGACGCATGGTCTGACAAGGTCAACTCCACCCTTGGTGATGAAGTCTACAGCGTCCCTGGCCAGGCATCTCTCCTTGTATCACCTGAGTGAGGCTGCAAAATTCAGAAACTTCAGCACAAGTCCCCACAGAACTGGAGCTCTGTGAGGAGAAAAGCACCGACGTTTTCATTTTATGAAGAATCAGCACACAGTGATGGATAATATTTTACCTTTTGTTTGAAGATTACTTGTGGCATCCAGAGCCTGAAATAAAATGAAAACAAAGTATCAGTGACTGATTTGACACTCTCACCTCTACTTCAAAGCTCTTGTTAGGATTAAAATTTTTATTGACCTTTGTGGGAACTACTTTTTCTTCAGATGCCTTCTCTTCAGCAGCTAGTGCCTTTCCGGGTTCTGTGACTATCAACTCCAACTCTCCTTTTTCTCCCAAACACAGCTTATGAGACTGTCTCTGAAGAACTCGTTGCTTCACTAAAGAAATCCAAAACACCCCAGTGACAATCTGAATAGAAATACAACTTTAAATTACTTATCACTTTTCCACCACTACGTTAGGACACATATACTGTGCCACAAAGTGAAAGAGCTTTAAACCTCTAAGAGCACACATAATGCCTTCCTTCTGAAACAGAACAGAAAAACAACAGGGGATACCGTTTCTGAAAAAAAAAACCAAAAAAACAAAAAAAAAAACCCATCAGGGAAACAAAGCTCAGCTCCACCACAGGTTTCCTGGCTGGTCTCCAGCGGGCAGCCCTGTGCTGGGGCCACAAGGGTCCAGTGTCTTCCAGCCAGTGTCAAAACGGCTTTGGGCTGTATGTCCTGAACTTACCGGCTGGGAGAGTCAGCAACTGGGAAGCATGAAAAAGCACAAAAAAAGGAAGTGTACATATCCGTGTTTATGCACCTACGTGTACGTGCATATAGACGTATACATTTAACACAACTGCATCTAAATGCTTCCCACCTTGCTGCAAGTTTATATAAATACTTGCATATTATATATGTTGTATTTTTAATACGTATCTGTAACTAAAATATATATAAGTTATATTAGCATAAGCTTTATTATTCCAAGTGCAATCTAGAGAATACTACTATGCATCAAAATTACTGTGTATGTACACATACCCTGGCAGGACAGACTTACAGACATAGGCTAGAGTTACTCAAAACGCAATCTAGAGGCTAGTACTAAGCACCGAATTCAAGCATATATATATATATATATATATATAAAAAATATATTCTATATTGCGTATTATGGGATGTATACGATATATGACATACTCTAGATTTGTCGCTTACACACTAGGCAGCAGACACGAGCCCATACGCAGTAACTCACTCGGTGTTTGTGGTGTAACTCACAGAAAGCGACGGCCCCTGCGAGGGGCAGCTCACACCACGTTCCCGTCCGCTGGGAGCCGCCCCTCACCCACCGCTTTCACTTTCGATTCCCGGCGCGACGGGGCGGGGCGGCCCGCGGCCTTTCCCGGTGGCCGGAACAGGGCCCCTGCCGCTCCCGCCCGCGACTGTCGCGACAGACCCGCCGCAGGCGGGCGGC